AGGAAGGAAGGAAAGAAGGAAGGAAGGAAGGAAGGAAGGAAGGAAGGAAGGAAGGAAGGAAGGAAGGAAGGAAGAAAGAAAGAAAGAAAGAAAGAAAGAAAGAAAGAAAGAAAGAAAGAAAGAAAGAAAGAAAGAAAGAAAGAAAGAAAGAAAACCCCATTTTCTTCTAGTACTGATGATGTTATCTACTTTGGTAATGAAATGTCTGCCAAAGAAACCATCGAGCTGAGAGCACCAAGTACCCCCCATAGTTCAAACCTGAGCTACAAATATTCCCTCAGTATCAACTCTTTAGCATTCTCACTACCAATCAAGTAAAAGGCAATTTGAATCAAACTTCTGAGTCCAACAAGACCCACGATCGCTTCAAGGACACATCCATGCAATTTTCTCGGCAGCACCACACAAACGACCGTCAATTCCTTCCGGCGGAATCCTGATTTACCCTCCTGGTACTAATTAGACCTGACCCTCTTGGTTTCTGAGTTCAGGCAAAAATCAAACCCAGTTCTGCCACTTGCTGAGTCACACCAGGGAGTTTCCAGGGTTTTAGAAAGTGGGGCACAGAATCAAGAGTTCTAAATCCTACCCAATAATGAATTCGTTGCCAGAGAGCATCTCTCATGGAGTGCAAAATTTCCCACTCTGGAGCAAACTGTCTCCACCTTCTCCCTTCTCCCTCACCCCCAGCCCCAGCCCAGACCGTGAGTTCTTGTCCTCCCTCACCATGGTCCTTGTTTTTGTAGAGCCACTTGTTGCCGTCGTCGGTCAGCAGCTTGTCCTGGCCGAAAGCAGCATTCACAAAACCGTTCACAAAGGAGGAAGCCAAATTCATGCGCGCTGAATCCACTTGCGAACCGCTACCGCCGAACCCTGAGGGAGGGAGCAGAAGAAGGCAGGGATGAATGGGTTGCTCCTGCCTCAGATCGGAACTGGGAAACGTCTGTGCTGGGCCACCAAGACGATTTTTGAGAAGCTGCAGTCTAGCCAACACGCCGGCCATCAAAACAACTGCAGTGTCACTGGCTGCTCACTGAATAAACAAAATTGGGTCTGGGTTTTATAATTAGAAAATGATGGGCAAATGGAAGAGCAGGAGTGGGGGGAGCAGAGTGTGTGTGTGTGTTGATCTACAGTGAAACAGTATGTCTACTTTCCAAATTCTTGGGGGACTCTCAACTCCCCAGATAATGGCTCAGAAACAGAAAAATGTTCTCCAGTGGAAACACAGAATCTTTCACCTCAAGGGTGACCAGACTCCCATATAAAGTTGATGCTATCTATCCTTAGGTTAGATAGCACCAACTTTGAGAGTCTGGCCACTCTTGAGGTGAAAGTTTCTGTTTCCACTGGAGAACACTCTTCGGTCGCTGAGCCATTATCTGGGGAGCAACTGTAGAGAACGTTACTTCTGGCCTTGACTCTGTAATGAGTTGCGCTTGGATTAACTTTAAAAACAGTTTGGAATGGGCCACCTCTGTCTTTTGTCCAGAGCACTTGTTCATTCTCCTCTAAGAGGCCCTCCAATTAAGCTTCAATCCCAGTATCCCTCTCGGCTGAGTTTTCTTGGCAGTTTTATGGTTTGCGGTTCATACTGAAAATCTATCTGCAAGAGCAAAATCATAGGCTCATTTTGTCCTGTGACGTCCATCCAAGCCAGGAGCCCAGAATGGCTATGGAGTGGACTTGGGGAAGATGAGGCGGAGCCTGTGGTGGTAGAGTCAAGAGAGGAATCAGCCTGGAGCTGTTACGTTCCCACAAGCGGTCCAAATCCAGCCCCACTGAATTCTGTTAACAGTTATATAGCATCAGGTCAGTGCAGTTGGCGGACTAAATTTTTGTGTATAGACACGAGCAATAAATCAGTTTAACTGGAACTTAATGCGTGGTCCTGATTTTTCATCGCCTGGCAGCTTTCTCCTATTAATAATTGTAATTTGTCGAAGTAATTGCTCTGAAATCAGAAGTATGCTTATGTCGCAATGCCTTCGGTGGCCATTCCCTATTTTTTAAAAACCCTAAACTTTCAGGTTCAAACTACTATAGATATCTTCCACAACAATCAAAATTGCAAATATATACATATATATACACACGCAAATTTTTGTCACTCCATGACAAAAACAGCCTCAAAATGTGAATCAAGAATTTGGGGGAGAGGGACACACTTAATGAATGTGACTAGCTATAAGTAAGTATGCAAAAGAGAATTGGGCCAGTATATTTGAAGAGGCATCATTACATAGTTAGAACTACCCCTCTCTATAAGGGAGATTAAATCCAAACAGTGTGAATCAGACTGATGACGAGAGTTATAACCAACCAAGATATTCCTAGTGAACCCAGAGTCAGCAAGGACCCCACTATTTTAAGCCCAGGACTTACGATTATTTTCTAGATGTGTTTTGTAAATGTCATCTGGCACCTTGGGCTCCATGATATCCAGCTGGAGGCAAAAGAAATAATTATTTTTGGTGTCTTTCATATAAAACAAGTCTTCACCTGATTGCTGAATTAATCCACTATCCAGGTTTAAAATATATATGGAATCACAGAATGACCAAACTAGGTGTGGTTCACAGCTAAGTTACAAAAAAAATCTGAAATCACGAGTAATGCTCTTCAAATATAATATATATTGAACACATTCATTTACAGGATAAGCACATAGTGGTGAAGTAATAAATAAGCCACAGCCTCATTTAGATGGGGGGGACTGAAAATTCATCTAATTTATCACCCATGTTCCACTGTCACCCCAAATCAAAGCTTTGATTTGATTTCCATGATGTGAACACCCCACATTCAGTCCCTCTGAGGAAAATACAACTTTCTTAGTGGACTGTACCTTCCCAGGAGATCACAGCAAATAATTTTAAATCCAGTTTGCAAGAAGGCTTTGGACAGTAATGAAGTCTGCTTACTTTATAATTTTTCTGTTAGTCAATTCTCAAGTAATTGCCCTCCACTTTTCAACCAATGCAATTAGGGAGAACTTGGGGAAACTGGGGAAAAATTAGTTTTGAGGGGCTATCAGTAGCACAGGAATCTCAAGTTGCCTGCAGTGTTGGGTGAATGCCCAAATCAAAGAAAAGGTTTACTGAAAACCAAAAAAAACAAAAACAAAAACCCACACAATTTTTTTTCTTTTTTTACTCTCGCTGAACACAGATGCCCTGCTGAGCATTTCTGTTCATTAGAAACGCGAAACATGTTGGATTTGAAATGTTATGATCTTGAAATAGCGGTTTCAAAGTTAGACCAGGTTGTTCTGACCTTGCTAGAAATATTTTGAGCTCAACTTTGCTGTTTTACATTCAGAATGCTTCTGGTATCTCGGCAATGTTACCAGAACATTCCAGGTGAGCTCAGAACAACTCTTCCAAGGAGCTGTTTTGAATTCAAAATATTTTGTACCCTGCTGCAAAGAGTGGTCACAAAAAGGGTCAGAATCAAATAACTGATCACCCCACACAAGTATGAAATGGCTGCAAATTCTGTTTTATCTTTAACTGAAATTTAGAAATAGGGACAGGTATTGGAAATCTCTAGATGCCATTTTTACACTAAATTGTCCAGATAGCATTTTAGTGTCAAGTAAGCGGCCTTTACTGTTAGAAGAGGTGAGAGCAGAGAAATGATATATAAGTAGACCAGCACTATATTTCAAATATTTAAACAACACGCTCAGCATTCCTAACAAAGCAATGCAACACCAGTGTTTAATTCTGATTCCAGTGTAGCCATAATATCTTCAGCACAAGACATTTTCCATTTCAAAAGTTTTTATTGTTTTTTATTGTTTTTATTTATAGTTTCTGAGCACTTGGTTCCAAAAACTAGACAACAACATACCCAACTTTATTATGTCTCACAGTTTAAATGCAAAACATCTTTTCTGGCTTACAATGAAATATGCAGAATGTATTTAGAATTGAACTCTTTAAGCTTCAGTCTATCCAGACAACTTCAGTGAAACGTATTTAGCTGTGTGGTTTGTATCATGTGCAAGTTTTAATCTCTATACTCCTTTTTACAATTTGCTAAATCTTTCCAGATTCTAATTAGATTTGCATACCACTGCATCATTCAATATCCTGATGGTTGAAAACAAGATAGATTCTACTAAAATATCCAGGTTAAAACAAAAACACAAAAAGAACCCACAGCAAAACTGATATGTTGAAAAACCTCCCATGCCTGAAAATGAATTAAAACTCATCCTTGCATCGAATTAAAAGCAGTGAAAACTTGTGTGCAAATGTTCAATCTGGCTTAAATTTGGGGAATATTACAGGCAATTCTTGTTTAGCAACTGCAATTGGGACAGCACACGTGGTTGTTAAGCAAAGTAGACGCTAAGTGAAAGAAAAACTGTGCTTGTGACCTTATTTTAGCTTTCCTTTGCATTACAGACCTGCATAAAAGTGAGGACTTGGTCATAAAATTACTCTTTAACAACCATTTTAACTGTTAACCGTTGCTAAACGAAATTAAACACTAAACACTGCCACTAAACAAGGTCGATCTGTATTATTCCTTAACATTTGACCTTTTCAAAAACATGACCATTGTAGAAAAAAAAATCTATCAGGAAATAAACTGACAGTATCAGCAGGCTGCATTCTCAGCTTGTTTGCTACAGCAGATGGCACTAAGAGGCAAAATAATGCTTTGACATGGGGATAAAGGAGGCATTTCTTAAAATAAAGCCGGATTGCTTCTAAAAGCTTTCCCAGGAATTTATACTGTCATTCAGTCAACATTTATCTCTTGCCTTGCTCTAAATGGACCTTTTGCCAGTCATTTTCACACTTCCCCTTATTCAAGATTCAAAATCCTACTAGGAAAAAACAACAACCTTGTGATATCTATGGAGATTCTCAGTCATCTAGGTCATGGTTGTCCAAAAAGCACCTTTGAGACAACCTTGTAATAGTGCAAGATAACTTACTTCCCTGGCCAAGGCCAGAAAATTACTGTTGAGCTGGACGTTAGACATGATCTCTGTAAGATCCTCATATTCTTCAACATCCTCACTTAGCTCCAGAAAGACACCGTGGCGGCCCAGCATGAAGGCCATTTGCTTCTGAACCACTCTGCAAACAAACAAACAAACAAAAATGTCAGCAAACCAAAAATTTTTTAGCTAGAGTGGACTGTAAGATGATGAAGTCAAACTGTCATTTATTAAATTCAGCAATATCCTGTTGGTGGCCTTAATTGTTTTTTCCTTAGGAGCCAGTGCTTTGCAGGAGTAACAGCATCCCCCAGAGGGATGGATGGGGCTCAGTCTTCCAGGGTTTCCAAAATAATGATAGTAGACTTATATGCCACTTTACAGTGCATTACAACCCTCTCTAAGCAGTTTACAGTCAGCATATTGCCCGCCCCCCAACAGTCTGGGTCCTCATTTTACCCACCTCGGAAGGATGGAAGGCTGAGTCAACCTTGGAACCTGGTGGGGTTTGATCTGCCAAATTGCAGGCAGCTGGCAGGCAGCAGAAGTTAGGGTTCGTGTCAGGGTTAAATCCCTTAAAACCATTTTTGCTGGCAGGGGAAGGCTGTATTTTAATGGCTATTTTTAATCCAAACTCTTGTTTGACTATATTTTTTATTAACTTAGCAATGGATTCTGTAAGCAGCCCAGAGTCTGCTCAATTGGGCAGCCATAATAAATGTAACAAAATAAATATCCCATCTCAGGAAGATAACCATAATCAACGATAACATTGTTAAGTTTCACTGAAAGTCACTGTTCCTCACCCAAATTTCCAAACATTGAAGCGATATCAATTTCAATTAAGCAACATTTTAATTTCCACTAGAAGTTTGTAATATTGGACCTGGTGGATCAATTTGGGACTATTGTTTTTTATTCATTGTTTATTTTGACATCTATTGCTTTTATTCTGGAATGAAAAAGCCTGGTACTTAATAGTTTAGTTCAGTTGAGGTTCTAAACTAAGCTCTCATCATTCCTTCTGAATGGTCATTGTAGATGGAGTCCAAAGGAGTTTAAACCTGGATACCTACATCTAACTTGAACTATTACAAAGATAACTGGAAATATGTGAAGCTTTGACTTAATCAAGTTCAGATTCCTTCTTTGTAGATTGTGTTCCCCTCAAAAAAAAATAAGATGCATAATAGCAATATTAGCCTTATATACCGCTTTACTGCTCTACAGCCCTCTCTAACTGGTTTACAGAAACAGCATTGTCCCCCAAAATCTGGGTCCTCATTTTACTGACCTCAGAAGGATGGCAGCCTGAGTCAATCTTCCATCCTTCTGAGGTCAGTAAAATGAAGACCCAGATAATGAACGTTAACATGCATGGATTACTGCAATTTGCAATATGGGGCTGTCCTTGAAAACCATTTGGAAGCTATAACTAGTCCAAATGCAGTGGTGTAGACAATATTACTATTATTGTGAGTATTTATTGTTTTAACCTTTTGTTTTTTGGTGCTTCCAAGCCACCCAAAGTCACTTCTAGGTGAGATGGGGCAAACAGAACATGTATGTATATGTACGTATATTATATTATATATTATATTATATATAAAATCGATGTGTCTGCCAATGTATCTTCCTCCTTCTTTCTGAGTTGCACAGATTGCTAGTTGAATTTTGGCTATAATTCAAGGTTCTGATGGTCATCTATAAAGCCCTGCGTGGCATAGGGCCTGCTGTCTGAGAGACCGCCAATGAATCAAGCAGAGGAGGCAGGCTCCGGGTTGCCTCAATCAAGCCATCAGGATCTAGGCAGCCTGCTGTCTCTCTTGCAGCGTCTACTCTTTTGAAACAGCATCCTTCACGCAGTTCTGTAGGGCTGCCATCGTTCCAGAAGTCCTTGAAAACATGGCTGCTGCTCCAGGCCTGGAGGCAAGATGGATGCTGAGTCTTCATTAATTTTGGCTAGTTTAGGGCAGGTTTGGTGGTTTTAATCTTCTAAGTGCACATTTAAAAATAATAATAATAATAATTATTATTATTATTATTCCTGACTTTGAAGGGCTTCTGCGATCGTGCGCGGTTTCTGTCTGGGCTCGCCGCTGGAGCGCCCCAAGCCGGCTGGTTTCGGGGCTAAGCCACCCCGTAGAGGTGATGAAGAGGGGGGAGACCATCAGCAGGGTCGAGGAGAGCCGCATCTCTCCTCCTCAGCTGGCCATTACTCCCTTTCCCGAAGGCGGTTGCAGTGGTGGTCAGAAATGGCCACCACAAAGAAGAACTCGGCAGGAAAAGAATGTGCAGGAGGAAGATAAGAAGTGAAAGTTTTGGCTGACCGGGTTAAATTGTAAAAGCAACAACTAAGGTACCCTGGAATTTAAACTTACAAAAAATAACATCGCTCCCAAAGAAGAGTCGGAAGCAGCGAAGGAAAGTGAAAAGGGAAAGGTTTGGCTTTTTTTTTCTTCTCTCTCCTTCCCTATACTGACAACTAAGAGACTTAAATAAGAAATTGGAAAAATCCGCTTTGACATCAATAGGCAATTAAGCTGAAAATAAAACAAAATGCCAAAGGGATAATAAAGATTTCTGGACATTAAAAACTTTCTTTTTCATAAGCAGGAAGGGAGAGAAAAAGAATAAGGGCAGGATCTGCAAGAGGGAGGAGACTGCCTGGAATTAAAACGAATCTACAGTAAAACTTCAACAAGACTTCTAAAAGATACATTTTAACTGAAACTTTGCAACTAAATAGTAACCCCAGGAAGAGAAAGTGAAAAAAAGAGCAAAAAAGGAACAGCTTGCGTGTATTTGGATTATTTGGTGATCTTTGGGTTTTTGGTTATTATATTTGAATGACTAAAATCAATCAGGTGGTTGTTTAAAAATTGATACAATGGCACTACTTCTGGATGAATTGAAAATGGAACTTAAAAAGTACAAAGAAGATGCACAAGAAGGGAAGGGTTCTTTTGGCTTCGTTTTCCAATTCTTAGAAATGGAGATTTGGAACTATGAGAAACAACAAGAAAAGACTGCAAAACAAGAAGACTGGGACAAAGAAGAAGCCATCTTTAATGAACAAGTAATTTTATGTGGGGAAGAAAAAGGAAAGGGGGGAAAGAGGATGGAGAATTTAAGACTTTAAAAAACAACCAAAGAAAAGAAAAATAATTCGAAAAATAAGTATAATACTGGAAAGCAACAGAACAGGTGAATATAGAAGAGGGAAATAGAGGTAGAGAGACAAGGGGGTAAAAAAGGGAGAGAGAAGAAGAGAGGGAAGAAGGAAAGGAAAAGAAGTTACAAAGGACCGGAGCAAGATATAGAGAAACAGGACCTATTTAGAGATAATGGGTGAAAATCTAACTGAAAAAGGGATTCTGTAAAGGTACATAAGATTGTATTGTTATATTAGTAATAGAAATAACTTTAGAAAATTGGAAACAACATATGATTAAAATGAGGGATAAAATAGTGTAATTTAGTGAAATGTTTGTGAATAAAATAAGTGAAATAAAATGAGAAAATTGAATTAGGAAGGAATGGGAACATTTTAATTAGTTAATGTTTTATAAAATATAAGTGAAGGGGAGGAAATTAACTATGGAAAGCTTATAATTGTTCCCATAGAAGTATGATATTTAATTGAAAAATAATGTTAAAGATGTTAAGACTTTAATGAATATTTAATTAATGATAGAATTGAATTGGAATGGAATGTTGTTTTAATTATATACATTTATAATTTTTTTCTTTTTTTAAGAATACAGTGTGTATTTTAAGAATGTACCAAGCAGAATCCGAATGGAAGTTATGTATTATATTGAATGTTACAACTTTAGGGAAAAGATATAAAGGCGTCATACTCCAATCAGTAACTACAGGAGAAATTTTGTTTAATGAGAAAAGATAATAGATAATTGAAACAGGACAGACAAAAAATATAAATACAATGATTTGAATTGAGATGAGATAATTAAAATAAAATTGAGAAAATTAAAAGAGGGGAGAAGCTATGCAGAAAATGTAAACTAGTAATAAGATATGGAATAGAATATAAAAATGAGCATGAACCTGAATTTGTGTCTGTACGAAGAAATGTAACCCGGGATTATGCTGCTTTCAAAAAAGATGTTTTATTTGTATTTTTTTTCTCTTTGTGAAAACTCAAATAAAATTTACAAAAAAAATATAATAATAATTCCGGAGTTTGTTAAGTCCTCAGTCTTTCAGCAGTCAAGATTGCAAAATGGGGCAAAACTTACTTAACGACTGTCTAGCTTAGAAAAAGAAAAATTTGACTCAGTTGTGGTTGTAAGTTGAGGACTACCTGGTTCTCCCCTTCCTGATGCATGATGTGGTCTCAGAATTACAAAGTTGGAAGGGACCTTGGAGGTCTTCTTGTCCAACTCCTTCCTGAAAACAGGAAATCCTATACCATTTCAGACAAATGGTTGTCCAATCTCTTCTTCAAAACCTCCAGTGGTGGAGCACCTACAACTTCTGAAGGCAACTGATTGTTGTGTCAGGAAATTGCTCCTTCATTCTAGGTTGCTTTTCTCCTTGATTAGTTTCCATCTATTGCTTCTTCTCCTGCCTCGGGGGCTTTGGAGAACAGGTTGACCCCCTCTTCTTTGTGGCAGCCCCTCAAGTATTGGAAGACTTATCATGTCATGTCACACACACACACACCACCCCAGTCCTTCTTTTCATTAAACTAGACATATCCAGTTCCTGCAAGTGTTTTATCCTCCAGACCTCTAATCATCTTTGTTGCTCTTCCGTGCACTCTTCTAGAGTCTCTGCATCTTTTTATATATCAGGCATGATATTCCCCTCTGAAAAAAAAATCGGGGCCGGCCAAAAGAGACCCCCCACCGCGCGCCAAGAAATCGCTGCCCAGCTCCCTTTTCCTGCCGCTCAGCGGCCTCCGCTTGCACCACCCACCCGCCCGCCCGGGCTCCGCTCAGGTATCTGGCTGGGGCTGTCAGGAGTTGCTACCGCCGGCGCAGCTCCGCGCGGCTCCAGTCCCGCGTTGCCTCGGGAAGGGAAAGGCAAAACCAGGAGCCGCTGCTGCCGTTGCAAAGCGCCGCCGCGGCTCTTCCTTTTTGCCTTTCCCTTCCTGAGGCAACACGGGACTGGAGCCACGCAGAGCCGCGCCGCCGGTGGTAGCAACTCCTGACTCAGGGCCTCCGAGGGGAGGGGAAGGAGGAGAAGAAGGGGGGGAAAGGGGGGGGTGATTCCCCAAAAAATCAGAATTCCGATTTTAATCGGAAGAATATCATGTCTGATATATATATATATATGAATGAATGAATGAATGAATGAATGAATGAAACAAAAAGGGTCTTTGGGCAAGGTTCTAGACTTAACCATTCTCAGTTCTCCTAGCCCTGAATCCTGTGGATCTGTCCACAGCACCCCAATTCTAGGGAGCGCTACTTACACATCTTTGCAGGAAATGAAGATGTTTTCGGCCAGTTCCATGTCATTCAGCATGAGGGCCAAACGCAGGGCTTCAGGGTAGCGATTGAACTTGCGGAAGATGCTAAGGGCACAGCGAAGAAGGGCAGAATTCTCTGGCTCGGGGACATAGCTCACACAGCTTGAAAAATAAGAAAGGGAGAGGCAGAAAGTGAAGCTTGGTTAGCGCTACGGCCATTAGCCAACTGTTCCCTTTTTTTCCACAAATGTTACACAGTCCCTCGGGTTAGGTCCCCAAACCTTGATGTGGCCCTCAGCCCCTGCTCTCAAATTAAAATTCTCAATATGCGATGGGGGAAATCATGAAACTCATCATAAATATCCTGTAGTTGGGCTGGAAGAGAAGAAAATCACCATGTGCATATTGAAGCAAACGGCAGTTACAACTTGTTATGACACCACCATGGAAGAGTTAAAGTAGACAGAAATCCTACCGAACAGCAAATATAGAAGTTACCTAAATTGGGAATCAGTTCCTTTAAGAGTGAGGAGGGAAGAGAATACATTCTTTAAAATGATATGCTGATTGATAAACTTTAGAATTATGGCTAATTATACCTTTATCATCAGATTCAGGTGAATTTCAGCACAAAACAAACATTTTTGCATGTATAAATGAATGCACGCCTGTCACAATCCATCAGGATTTGGGCTCTGAATACCCTAGATCAGGGATTCCCAATTTTGGCAACTTTAAGATGCATGGACTTCAAGTCCCAGAATTCCCCAGCCAGTTCTGGGACTTGAAGTCCATGCATCTTAATGTTGCCAAAATTGGGATACACTGCCCTACATTTAATGTCCTGCATTTCTTTGCAACAATTCTTTATCATATTGGACTGCCTCAGTAGAATGACAGTTTCTTATTCTATTATTCCTAAAGGAAATAATAGTTCCACCTTTGAGTGCTCCATGCTTAAATCAGGTTCAAAGGCTAAGAGAGAAAAAGGTTCATTGGGATTTTAGAAGAATAAGATAGGAAGGAACTAGAAACATATAGTTTTGAGGAGAGGCGGATAGCATTCTTCAGGAATCTGAAAAGATATCACACAGAAGAAGATTAAGATCTGTTCTGCATTGTTTCAGAGTGCAGAAAAACAAAAACAAAGGATCTGACCGATAGGAATATAATTTCCAATTAAGTCTTAAGGGGGAAAAAAAACCTTTGGTATTTGAACCGTGGAACCAATTATGGGAGAAAAATTAGGTTTGGATAGCCACTGACCATGAATGTTTTAATATGGATCTCTGTGTTCAAAGAATTGGTCTCCACGGCCTAATTCAGCCTTGCCAACTCTTATGAATTGAACTCCACGAACCCCAGAAAGTACAGCTCCCTTACCTGGTCAAGTAGAGACAAACTTTGGCATAGGCATTGTCGTCAATATATTCCTCCAGCATATCCATCTGCTCAATTTCCATCAGCAAATCACAGGCCTCGTGCTCAGCATTATGGGCCATGTTGTAGGGCACAATCTCCTTTACCAGAGTTAGAAGTGTGTCCTTCTGGGTCTTGTCTGCCTCGTCAATTTCCTGCCACTCCTTGGCGACTTCGCCTGCTAGATGCCTGCAGGGGCAATGGAAGGAAAATAGCCATGGTTTTAAAATAAAAAACAAGACAAACTCCCTATTCAGTAAGTCATTTGGGGGGGGGGGGGATTTCCAGCAAATTTATATCTTGTTTTTCAGCCCATAAAATTACAGGGGTACCTTTACTGAACTTAAATCTTCCCATGTTCTTTATTGTAAGGAATACTTCAAATAAGAGTTTAGAGTTAGAGTTTACTTTACTGATTAGCCATTGGGCCATATCAAAGTGCAGAGTTCCAGACACAAATTCTTACTAAAATCTGATAAAAACAATTTAAAATGGAATTGGATAAAAAACAATTTAAAATGAAATTGGAATAAAATACGATTTAAAATGAAATTGGAATAAAACAACGGTTTAAAATGAAATTGGAATGAAATACAACAATTTAATATATAAATAAAATATGATAAAATTATATTTTGGTGTCACCCCTGCAATCTACCCCAATCAGTCCCACGCAGGCCAATCACAACCGAACTATTTTGCTTAATTACTGTGCTGTGTTGAATGTTATTTTCAGATTCTGGCCGCCCATAAGGTAGGTTGTTTAGATATGGGGATCCCAGTGGGTCACTTGTCCGGTATATAGAAAATAAAGAGATTATCTGTCAAAAGAGACATCAGCAGCCTTGGGTTATTAAAACACCTGCTGCAAGAGACTGTACCGAAGAAGCAACTGCTATGAACAGAGCTCAGGCAGTGCTGACTAGGGCACCACCCGAGAGCCTCCTGTTTGCTGTGTTCGGCGCTGCAGATTGAAGGTGATGTTTAACAATGAAAAAGAACTATGTAGTTCAAAAGAACTGCACAGGTAGTCCTCGACTTACAACAGTTCGCTTAGTGACCGTCTGAAGTTACAACAGCACTGAAAAAAAAGTGACTTAGAACTGTTTTTCACACCTATGACCATTGAAGCATCCCCGTGGTCACGTGATTTACATTTTGGATGCTTGACAACCGATTCACGTTTATGACTGATGCAGTGTCCCGGGGTCATGTGATCCCCTTCTGCGACCTTCTGATAAGCCAAGTCCATGGGGAAGCCAGATACCCCTTAACATCCATGTTACTAAAAGTCTACGGAGATTCTCAGTCATTCCAGGTCATGGTTGTCCCAAAGGTGTTTTGTTTTTTTTCCCCCAAGAGGCAACTGGACTTTCTTGTTTTTCTTTTGAAGACATTTCACTTCTCACCCAAGTAGCTTCTTCAGCTCTGACTGGATAGTGGGGAAATGGAAGGATTGATACTCCTTGCAGACAGCTGGTCATTTGCAAGGAATATAAATCTGCACGGCATATAAACCTGCAAGAAATATAAATCTGCAAGGAATATAAATCTGCAAGGCATATAAATTCTCCCATTCCCCACCATCCAGTCAGAGCTGAAGAAACTTCTTGGATAGGAAGCGAAACGTCTTCAAGGAAAAAC